TGGGCAGGGCTGGGGGGTGCCCCAGGGGTGCTGACCGCCCCTCTTCCTGCAGAGGCCGAGGGCCCGGGCTGGAGGGTGCGGGGCTGCGCCTCGCCGGCCTGGTGCGACACCCCCTACACGGCCATCTACAAGGGGCTTCAGGGGGCCCGGGCCCATTGCTGCCAAGGTGACCGCTGCAACCGGGGGGCCACCCCACCCTGGCCCCCTGCCACTGCGCTGCTGGCCCCCCTTGGCCTGCTCCTCAGCCACCTGCCATAGCCCCTGCCCGGGCACCTGGGTCCTTCACGAGACTCTCGGGGAACACCCCCTCCAGACGCCTGGGTTCCTCCCCCAGCTCGACGGGTGTCGGGGCTCAAGTCTGGATGCCTGGCTTCCCGCTGCCTTCCTCAGGCAGGGAGGGGACCTGAGCCCCCCCACCTCTGACCTGGGCCCGCACTATTTATTGCCCCCTCATACTAGATATTTTGTGATCTAGTCACAGATGGGGGGGGGGGGGCAACCCCTCACTTCCTTATCCTTGTTTATTGTATTTTTTGTCTTATTTATAGCCCATGGATTTGGGGCAAATAAAGGTTTATTTTACAATATTTCTGGGTTTTGTGGGGCCTACTCAAATCCGGGGGGCGGGCAGGGCATCCGGGTCCTGTGGGCAAGGTTTTCCCTGTTCCACCCCAGAGCTGGACGCATCTCAGGGGGCCCATTGTACCCAGCCATGGTGCCCACCCCAGAGCCAGCTGCATCTCAGGGCCCCATTACACCCAGCTGTGATGCCCATCCCAGAGCTGGGTGCATCACATGGCCCTTTCTACCCAGCCATGACGCCCCACCTCTAGAGGTGGGTGCATCTTGGCATCTGGTTCTACCCAGCCCTGACATCCATCCCAGAGCTGGGCGCATCGCAGGGCCCTGTTCTACCCAGCCAAGATGCCCACCCCAGAGCCAGCTGCATCTCGGGGCCCAATTTTACCCAGCCATGACTCCCACCCCAGAGCTGGGTGCCTCTCAGGGGCCCTGTTAGACCCAGCCCAAGGCCGTCCCCCAAGGCTGGGAGCATCTTGGGGGTCAAGCTTTTTCTGCAACGGCGGGGGGAGGGGGTGGTGGTTGGGACACCCGATTGCAGCACCCAGTTGGGAAAGGGGCTGTGAGGCAAGGAGGGTGCAACACCTTCTGCCTGTGGGCTATAAACAAGGGTGGTGGCGGTGGGGGGTGACCTGGACATCTGGGTTCTCTACGTATTGGTAGATGACTCCTGGGAGCAGGCTGGGGATGGAGGGGTTCCTGCCCCCCTGGAGCTTCCCCCCTCAGGCCAGGGCCCAGTATACAGATGGGGAAACTGAGGCATGGATTGGGAGAACCCAGGTGTCTTGCCCCCTCCTCCCTGAGCTAGGTCTAGGAAAAAGTTCCTGGGATGTCCCAATGCTTCTTGCACAAGGTGGGGTGGAGGGCTGTCCTGGATGCCCGGGGGGGGGGTGTGTGTGTGTGTGTGTGTGTGTTTATCCTGAATATCCAGGTTCTGTGTGCGTGCGTGTGTTCTGGATGCCCGGAGGAGGGCATATTTGTGTGCATATGTATGTGTGTCCCAAATAC